ATTTGAAGAAACAAAGAATGGAAGGAATATTGATATTTTTGTATTTTATTCCTGGAGACAATTCTTGAAACAACCACAGCTGGCCAAAGACAAACAAACATGAATCCAATAAAAGAGAATATTTGTAGCTCAGTGTTGAAATTAGGGGTTCTTGGTGCTCTCTGATCTTGATTATTTTTTTGCAGACATTTCATTACCCAAACTAGGTAACATCGTCAGTGCTGGTCTAAATAGATGAATAATAATACAACAAATCAATTTAGAGTTCTTGTGGCACAAATGACCAGACTAAGAGTATCATATTTTGGACACATTACACAAAAACCAAATCTGCAAAGTTGGGGAAATGGAAAGAAAGAAAAGAAAACAACAAACAGCAACATGGATGGACTTAATTGCAGTAGCATCTAGACCAGTGTTTTTCAACCACTGTGCCGCGGCACACTAGTGTGCCGTGACATAGTGTAAGGTGTGCCGTGGGAAAATTACTTTATATATAGTCAATATAGGCACAGAGTTAAAAATTTTTAACATTTTCTAATGGTGGTGTGCCTCGTGATTTTTTTCATGAAAAAAGTGTGCCTTTGCACAAAAAAGGTTGAAAAACACTGATCTAGACAACCTGTGACCTATGGGATCATCACTTCAGAGATACAGTATTTCTTTACCAGATTCCTCAGTGCCTTCCACAATGGCAGAATTTCTAATGTATTCTTAAAATCCAGGAAGGAATTCAGAGATTAACAGATTAACAGAGTTGGAAGGAACTTTTTAGGTCATCTAGTCCAACCCCCCACCCAAGCATGTATCTGCCTTGAAAGTAACCCACACTGAAGTGTCAAACATCAGGAGCTGACTACAGGAAATGGTTTGTGATGATTTTTTTATTCAGTCATAAAATGATTTTTGATAATTTTTGTGTCATAAAATGTTTTATAAAATTTATCAAATTTCAAGTCCATGGGAGTCATGGATCCTGAATTGCAGATGCATTCTATAATTAAAGTCATTTGAAGTATCTTGTCTGAAAAGTGTTTGCCCTATGATGCACCAGTTGGAAATAGACAATTTCAGTAGTATAAAGATGGGTGTGCTGTTGGAAAACCTGAAAGGCCAAGATGGGTACAGAACATTCTAGAGAAGTACTTTTCACGTGATCCTTAAAAGTTGATGCCAACTTAATGGTACCTAATGAAATGTTTTTAGAAATTGAAATAAGTTTGGGGAAAAGAGTTGTTGGGATAGAAGGGAATTTTAGAGATTATGGGTTCCTTTCCAAAACTCAAATATAGTTCTGTAGCCAGAGAAAAAGTAAACCACCATAGATTTTGCTATCTCTTTTTTTAAAAACCTACAAAGGCTGGCCTCCCAATATTTCAATGTCATCAGATGGTATAAGAGCTCTCTGCCAATCAAAACATTCCTATAATACCAATGTTTTTAATACATGGATAGACTTGAAGACCTGTTAGAACTGATCCCACTTCTCAAAAGAAATCTCATAGAACTTGAGGGAGACAAACAATAAAATAAATTAGATTAGTACTAGGTTGACCTCCAGCCATGGTAGCCCACTGGGTGACTTTGGGTCAGTCAATCTCTCTCAACCCAGGCTGCCAAACAGGGTTGTTGTTGTTGGAAAAAATAGGAAGAGTGACCTCTCTCTTTAAAAGAAAGAACAACACATATTCATAACTCTACATGTACAATCATACTTTAAAGGGCATGGGATTGATGAAGCTTTACTTTAGAGATAGATTCATCCCAAAAGAGTGTTGCTATTTTTTAAATATATATATATCTTTGTTAATTCCCTTGAATTATTTAGAAAGGGGCTGGTTGGCAACAAAAGCCAGTTTCTGAATCTCAAACTAAAAAGGGCTTTTAAAAGGAATGATCATGCCGTTGTATTATTCTATACACCTCTTTCTCACTCTGTGTGTTTGCGCTTTTTATCCCTTGAAAATTTCAGTGTATATGACTACCCCAGGTCTTTCTCTTTTGGGTGGAGAGATTCTTTCATTCATTGAAGGAAGAGGCAGCTGTCAAGAAGCAGCTACAATCTTGATATCACCAGGAAAAGAGTAGGCTCTACCCTTTCTGGCTCTAGGAATCATGTTAATAGCTCCACATAGTCACTTGTATTTTCTCTACTTTCTCTTTGGGAAGATAGAGAGAAAAAAGGATGCTTGAAGGTTTCTAGCTCAGGAGTTCTTTTTGACTAAAAACATGGGTTACCTAAACATAACAGGTAAATTATGGTGTTTGAAATCCAATTATAAGAAAGAATACAATACCTGGAGTATTTTTTATTAGTTTTGGTTGAAAACAAAGCAATTTTCTTCCATTGAAACGAAGATGATGTCAGTTTGGTGCAAACTAAAAAAGAAATTCATCACTAAAATACCATGTGACTTTCTCTTGTTTACTTATTAGTTAAGAAATCTGCCTTTGATTGAAGTAGTGCAGAATCAAAGTATATTGATAAGATCAATCAGTCAGGAGATGCCAATGGCCAAGGATCCAGCCAAATATACAGTTTTTGTTATGCCCTTTTCCTCCTTTAGAATATTTTAATATTTATTTTGAATCAGGTTAGTAGAGCAAGATTCTTTAAACGCTACAATAAAGCATCTTTACACTCCTAAGTCCTGATTTTAATCATGTTTAATCTTTACAAAATCAAAGAGAAAAGGGGATCAAAATTGCTAGTTTTGCACATGCAAAAAATAATAATAAAAAGTGGTGCTGTATTTATGTAAATGAAGTGTATCTTATTTTGGACGAGATCTTAGTGATAGCTTAAGCTTTGTGTGATAACCTATATTCAGGATTACGTCTAAAGTTTCTAGCTACAAATATGAGTAATAACTGAGCAATCTTCCTGTATTGAATTATACCAAGGAATCTAATGCTACTGTGCCAGATCAAAGTCTTGCTACATCTATACTAACTCATGGCCCGTGCAGAAGCAAGAGAAAGGGACAAAGCAAAGTTAACATATTTCCTCTCCAATGATTATGGCGGCAACATTAGAGTCCATCTGCCAGCAGTCAGGTTAAAATAAGTTGATCTATTCATGGTAATTGTAATGGTTCAAATATAATGCAATACCATGGAATGTCTCTGTTGTATCTAGAAAAGCATAAGAATCAGACTATAGAGCAGAGTACCAAAAGGACAGATTGATAGATGCCAACCATATGCTGCTAAAGACATACCCAATATTCAGTACTAAAGAATAATCCTGTCTTTTACTACTTAAGAATTTGGGCAGCTGCTGTTCTAAAATATCTTTATTCAAAAGGTAGAGTATAATGGTTAAAATAGGAACATTGAACTCTCCAATAAAAATGCACACATTAATAAAAGAAAATTCATGCATATAGCCCTAATCATATGAACAAGGAAAAAAACTATGAGAATGTTTTTAAATGGAAACAAACATTGTTTCCATTATTGGTAGATTGCAATGATATCAAGAGTCCTTTAATTCTAAATTAGAATAAAAGAACTTGAGACTTGAAAGCTTCTTTGGAAATCAGGGTTGAGAAATTGGTTGCAGGATGAATATGTAAAACATTAGTATCTCTGTTGTGTTTGTTATTTGCTTGCCTTTTACTGAGAAATAAAAACTTCTCCCTGGAACTTTGTTTCTACATATGGTAGCTGCAGTGAGATTGTTATATGTTCAAAAGTGAAAAGTTTGACCCTACAGCAATGGAGGAATGGTTGGTGAAGATGATAGAATTTGCAAAGATGGCTAAATTGTCTTTCTTGATTAGAGAAAAGGCAGTATCTACATTTATGACTGACTTAATGATTTTTGCATTAAACAGAAAAAATGCAGTCATGACTTGTGGTTTTGATGCTTAGAAAAAAAATTAGATAATAGAAGTAAATGAGCTTTTTATCATCATAGAGCAGGAGATAATTTTGTAATTCTTATATTTACTACAAAAGTAATCAAAAGCTTCTTTTTATCTTTTTCTGTACTTTTTCTTTTTTCTTTTTCTCTCTGTTTTCTTCATTCTGTATTAGTTTGTGTTGGTTTTTATATTTTCTTTAAAACTTTTAATAAGATTTATATATAAAAAGGAATCAAAACATCAAGGTACCGGTAATTTTTTTTAAAAAATAAACAAATAAAAGCAAATAAAAAAGAATTAAAATGGAATAAATGCATCACACATCATGTTTGTATGTGCATTTCTTAATACAGATTTTTCAACTATCCATATTTATAATTTCAAAGCAAAATGACATTTGTACAGATCAAGCTAATCTGTTGATAAGAACATTGTTAACATAGCTAATAAATGATGATCACAGTTACTATTTTTGTAGATCCCCCCCCAAAAAAACTTCTCTGCTGTTGTGTTTAATTTTAATTTTTAACCAGAACAAATGCTCATACTTTTTAATATAGTTAATTGAATGAAAGTTGTATTTCATGGAGTCATGGAATGTAAGAGTTGATTGCTCTGATGTTGCCCTATTTTTCAATGTTTACAGCGACAAATCTAGTCACACATTAAACCAATGAATTAATTTATATTTCTCAGGAAATATGAAATAAATAACCAAGAAGATTTATTGTAAAAGATGATTGGGTAATTTCCCCAATTTCTTCAAAACTTATTAGTGATTGGACTTGTTCATCTAAATGTAGCAGTAATGCTTACAACCCTGCCAGCATAATCTAGAAATGTTATAATTTATTTAGTGTAATTTCCTATCGTTTTAACATTAGTACTATTACCTATATGATATCTTCATGGTCAGTTCTTCTTGCCCTGTTGAAGTAAATTTAAAAGAAATTTATGTGCCACAAAAACCCTCTAATAATATTGATCAAGTTCAGATACCAGCTGATTCTTGCAGACTTTTTAAAGACTTGTGTAAGAGTTTTATGATATATTCATATTACCAAGAATCCCTTGCTGTTAAGTGAAGCAGGTCTACATCATTCTTCAGCTGTTCCTTCTTTTCCCAAACAGGGGGATTCCAAGTTATGTCTTTTGAGCAGCCCAACAACTGTCTAACAGCTGAGACCCTTTGTCTAGCTGAGCCTTCCTGCAGTGCCACCTATCAGATCCTGCGAAACTGTTCCCAGCATCTTTCTAAGAACAGTTACATCTTTCTGAACCATGATGAAGCCAAGACCAGATGCATAGAGGCACAAATAAAAATGAAGAGTAGTCATTTCCAGCATTGCAAATGTCATCATAAGAAGGAAGAGCGTTGCTTGCAAATCTACCGGGCTGTTTATTCAACTTTAACACAAGGTAAGATAGAAACTTGATAATTATTGATTTTCTTGTATCACTAGAGGTAACAGGGAAAAAATACCCAACATTCTGGTAGAAACAAATGCTTAGATCTAAGAGGAAAATAACTGGCATCAATGTCTAAAATCTCATTATGGTCTTTCCCAGCTTTGCCATTTGAGACTTTTAAATAAAGAAGCTGGAGACTGAGGTCCAACCCCCTTATGCTCAGGGCCATAAGGAGCACTGTGTAACATAATAAGTTATAATCTGTTAGAAAGGCTTGCAATACAGGCATGTGTTTTATGCCTTAAAAGATAAGAATTACAACGCCACATTTTGGCAAGCACAAAGAGGTGGTTGTCCAGGAACCAGAAAAAAGGGTGATGGACTGGGATCAAAGACCCCATTTGGAGGTATCTTCTTTTCTTAAGATTAGCCCTCAGACTGAGCTATTTGCAGGAGAAAGCAAAGATGACTTTTGTTGTAAATATCTCCATTGGAATCCCATTGGCAGACTCCCTGGTTCAAACTCAGCAGAAACTACCTAGATGCTTGACACAGCATGGCTAGCTATAAATCTTTATTGCATACTGAATGAATCCCCTTTAAGCAAGAGATCACCTTCTGTCAATATGCACTGTTGTCCCTTTTTTATATCCATTGTGGTTTAAATTCAGCATTATCCCCCCCAACCCACCCCCACACATCCTTTCCCACATCTCAATGGGCATTTTATTTTGCCATTTTACTTATGTACTTGTGTAGGTACACAGAATAGTTGTTTTTCAGCCACATCATTCCATTTGTTACCTATTGCTTGAGTTGTTTTTTAAATGTAATTGTAGCATTAAACTGTAGTATCAAAAGCAACTGAGACAACAGATACTGCTTTACTCTACAGCTCCACTTTCCTCGGCCAACCATGGCTTGGTTAAGAGTAGTGAACCCATGTTCATAGAGAGACCAGACAAGAGCTGATAGGTGTGGGTTGGGGATTATATTGGGAAGCAGCAGAAGGGGAAGCTGGTGCTACTTCTTACTGCCACCACTGGTCAGCTGAACACTTGGTCTCCAAACTGGAATTGGTTCAGAGAACTAGCAGGTAAAGAGAAGAGCCCTGCTTGAAAGAACTGGACATTCTCACTTCTGAAAGCAGTAGAGAACAATAGTTGGGAGGTAGTGGCTGTTTGTGTGCACCTTCTTAAACTGACTAATAGGTGTGAAGCTGATGCAACCTTATAAGAAGTTAACTGACATCTACTAAAATGTGTTAAATTATACACATTGTAAACTACTGAAGTTTGTTGGTATGAACAACCATGACACAACACGGGGGGGAAAGGCTCCTGGAGTGTATCTGTGCTGCAATTGCCTTTCTGCTAGGATGATATAACAGGCATTCTCATTCTGGAAAAAAATGGCTGTCAATATGTCACAAAGCAGTTCTTTATTTTCCGCTTCCTCCTTTCAAGGGGTTATAAATGACAAAGTGGTTATGTATAACATCCAAAGTGTAATACCTATTTTGGAGTATATGAACGGATAATTATTGGTGATGCAGTGGTTAGAATGCAGTATTGCAGGCTAATTCTGCTGACTGCCAGCAATTCATCAGTTCAATCTCACCAGTCAAGGTTGACTTCCATCCTTCTTAGGTTGGTAAAATGAGGACCTAGATTGTTGGGGGAAATATTCTGCCTCTATAAACTACTTAGAGAGGGCTGTAAAGCCCTATGGAGCAGTATACAAGTGCTATTGTTATATACATTTATTCAGTGATGGGTTGCTAACTGGTTTGCTACCCGTTCACTTGTGCTGGTGCACATGCACATGTGCAGAAGCGTCTGGGTGGGTGGGTGGAGCCTCCCGCCGCCGCCACTACCAGTTCGGCCAAACCAGGCTAAACCAACAGCCCACCTCTGCATTTATTCCATTTACATACTGTAATATATTAGAGTGGAGCAAAAATTGAATAAATAAAAGTGTAAAATGTAAGAATGGAATAAATATAAATGTGCACACTTATTTAGCTATTCTTTGACAGGAAGTCAGAAGTAATTGGGGAAAGTTGCATGAATGGACAAAAATAAATGATCTTTGTATCTGAGCAAGTTACTGGATACAGTAGCTTAGGAGGCACAGTATATTTCTCCTTGGAGATAAAAGCAGGGCACCTACCTTTTAGATAGTAATCTCATAGGATGTGCTAAATGTCTTGCCACTTAATCAAAGAAAATCTAGTAAATCCTGGATGATGATGATATGATGATACCATTCAGTTGTGTCTTTCCATTTCTTCTGATCTTGCACTATTCCTTTGAGTTTTTCTATTCTTTGGTTGTATCAGCTTTGATAGTGTCCTGCCACCATGTTTCAGGATTCTCCAAGTAACCCTAACTCCGAGACTGGCATGCCTTGTTTCTTTTTACTGCAAACGCTTCTAAATATAATTACTGTATTTTTCAGAGTATAAGACGCGCCTTTCCCCCCCAGAAAAGAACGTGAAAATCTGGGTGCGTTTTATACACTGAATACAGCATTTTTGGCCTACCGAAACCCTGCCCTTTGCAAAAATGGCCATGCAGAAGCTTTGGGAGGCTTGCAAAGTGTTCCTAGGGGCTGGGGAGGGCAAAAATGAGCAAAAAATAGACCATTTCCCCACCCCCATCCCCTGGGAACACTCTAAAAACCTCCCAAAGCCTCTGCCTGCCCTTTTTCTTTGCAAAAAAAAAACAGCCTGTTTTTGCAAAAGTGGACCATTTTTTGCTCATCCCCCCCCCCCGCCTCCAGGAGCACTCTACAAGACTCCCAAAGCTCTGCATGCCCCCCTCTTTTTTTTTCTTTCTTTCTTTCTTTCTTTTTTTTGCAAAAAACAAGGCGTGCAGAGGTTTGGGGAGATCTGCAGAGTGCAAAAACTTTTATCTCTTCAAAATCATGGTGCGTCTTATACTCCGGTGCATCTTATGGTCTGAAAAATACAATACTTTCTCCAGTGAATTTTTGTGCATGACATGGCCAAAATAAGTGAGACATAGTTTTGTGATTTTTTTTCCCTTCTAGTGACATGTGTGGGGTTATGCACTCCAATACTATCTTGTTGGTCACTTTCGCTGTCCAAGGAATACACTGGTGCCTTCTTCAGCACTGCCGCTTATTATTAGCACATGGCTTATCTCATTAGTTAGGAGACTACAATGCTATTGCGGAGTAGTAGTTTGTCTGTCCGTTTACTAGCTCTGTTGTAGGACATGCTTGTACACTTTATAAAGTGCACCACAGGAGGGAGAGCTGGCTTTGCACGAGAAAGAAAGTCAGGTGGCTCTTTCTGCAGTGCCATCCTATCCCCCCTCCCTTTCCTGGAGCTGCCTCATAAATGGGGTTGCCAGGAAGGTTAAAAATGGCAGGAATCTGACTGCCTGCACAGAGCACCAACTCATTTCCCCCCCCTCATCAAAGTGGTAGCTACTCGCATAGAATATGTTTTCAAACTGTTAGGTGGAGAGAAGTTGAGGTGAGTGACAGGAGCTCACCCCGTCATACAGTGCTAGGACTCGAACCACTGATACAGAGACCATCTCCAGGCACTGCTTTTGGTACATACTTTGGCTTTAACCTTTGCCACCAACACTTCATGATCTAAGCCACAATTAGCAAGGATGTGTGTCCTACATATATAAGGCGAAGACAAATAAATAATTGAAACAATTTTATTCTGGAACCTATGTTAAGAACCTAAAACATTACACTGCTTCATATTGTTTTAGATAAATAGTAACTTTGAGCATAATTCTACTCACTGTATATTATAGCCTGTTATTAGCGATTATTAAGTTCAGTAATGTTAAGGTACAGACCAGTTGTCCTTTTATAATGTTTGCCTCCCCAACTGTTGTTTACTGTGTAAACTCTGTAATGTACATATTGCTGTGATCAGGCAAGCCCATTTTCTAAAACTCGTGTTTTTAGATAATGGTTTCTCGGAATCTCTTGGGAACCTTTCAATACTCTAGCAGTTAAAATTATATTTTTTTATGCTGTACAGATGACTTTCATTTGGAGGTGCTTCCCCATAGGGATGTAGCAAACAAAGAAGCTGTGAAGACAAAATACAACAAGCTGGCAACTCGTGTCTCAGGTAGAATTTATATCAACCATTCACAATCTTTAGTACATTGCCTAGAACAGTGCTTCTTAACCTTGGCAACTTGAAGATGTCCGGACTTCAACTCCCAGAATACCCCAGTCAGCGAATGCATTCGCTGGCTGGGGAATTCTGGGAGTTGAAGTCCGGACATCTTCAAGTTGCCAAGGTTGAGAAACACTGGCCTAGAATCTCTTAGAACTAGGATAGTAAAAAAAATCTTACAAAGAAATTAAATAAATCCAGGTCTCTTCCCCCCCCCCCCATAAATTGCATGTAGGGTAAATCTGAGATAGAGGGAAATATTTGATAGATAATTTTAAAGATAGCTTCAAGAGCATTAATGCATAGAGGCGTCAAAGACACTTCTTTGAACCCCCAGTTTTCTACTCTAGCCAAAACAATTACTCTCATGGAAAGAGAAGCCAAATTTCCTCCACTCTAATTAATCTGTAATTTTCCAAAAACAGACTCTCACCCAAAAAGTGATGCCTCCAGGGGTAGGTTTCAAAAATGGCAGCAATGGGTTCGCTGCTCTGTTGCTGGGCGGGCATGGCCAGGGTGGATGTGGCTTAGTTGGCCTCCTGCACCACGGCGGGGAAGGGGGGGTTCACCGTCCCCAGCCTCCGGAGGCTTTCTTCGAGCCTTTGGGAGGGCGAAAACTGCTTCCCCTGGCTCCAGAGACCCTCCAGATGCCGGAAACAGGCCCGTTTCCAGACTTCTGGATCCTCTGGTAGGCCCATTTTCCCCCTCTCTGAACCTCCCTGCATTACCTGCACTTACCTGGCAGAATGAACAGGTCATGTGGAAGGGGAAGGGAGAGAAGGGGTGGGTGTGGCCAGCCAGGGGTGGCATTTGGGGGTTTGTCAACCTGGGCAGAATCCTAGCTAGAGGATCACCAGAAGCCATGCGAACCCCCAGCAGCCAACCCCTGGTCATGTCTCCACAATTATATCTTATACTATCAATCAATGCAAAACAAGCCGCCACTTAAAACCAAAAGTAAAATATCTTCCAAATCTATCACCTTATTTATCTCTACACGTAAGCTATAAGGCTACTTTTTATCCAAATAACTATCCATCCACCCATATCTTGCATCTGCCTTCTCCCAGCTCTGCCTTCTACAATACCAGCTGACTTTCTAAATACTTAATTGCATTCTTAGATATTTTTCCCCCTGCTATTATGTCCAGCTTTCAAAAGAATCTGCCCCAGACACTTTTTGCTTTTCACCTGGCTAATTGAAGAACAACTGTTTCCCAACCCAATTCTTTTATTCTGAAGAATCATTTGAGTCCAGAGGATATGTTGCCCATGGGTGGCATATTGCCAACTCCATCAGTTTATCTACCCGACCATATCTCCAACTAACTATTGTTCAGACTAATGACAAAAAGGCTGAATGCTGAAGAACCTATGAAAAACCTACTTTCCTCATGGAGTTCTCAATTCCTGCAAGAAATACTATAGATTTGCAGAAGGAAGAGACATTATTTCAAACATTCCCACTTTTTTTTTTCTTATTTCATAATTTATTTAATTAAGCCAATGGGGTGTATGGCACTTTTACAGAGTTGTCCCATGGAGCTTTTTGTCCCGTATTTGACCTAGGATAAATAATAAAGAAAAAAAGATGGGTTAAATTCATCTTTGAATTGTAGAGAGATTCTGGCAATTGTCTTTTTTGTTTAATCTCCTTTGGCAAATCGTTTTTGGAGTTTACTGTTACCTCCTTGTGTTTCTGTGGATTTATAGGTTCCCATAGAACCAAAGATAGCTCAAATTCCTGCCTGCTTGCGGCTAATACTTGCCAATTGAACCACAAATGCCTGCGTCAGCGCTCACAATATGCTCAGGCCTGCACTACAGGATACCCATGTGACAAACGCCTATGCCACCGAAATCTGAGACACTTCTTTGATAAGATTGGTATGGATTTCACCAAGAAGCTCCTGTTTTGTCCTTGCCAAGATGAAGATTGTGGGGAACGACGCTGGCAAACCATTGTCCCACAATGTTCTTTCGTGAGCAGCAGGAAGCCCAATTGCCTCGACTTGCGGGATGCCTGCTTAAAGGATAATGTCTGCAGGTGAGTCTAATGGAATGATTATCTGAGTAAGTTTCATGGCATCTGAATATTAATGGCTATAAGAGCAGTAAAATGGATGTGTTACAATTCTGATAGTGTGATGTACCTATTTAAAAAGTGCACACCCTCACACAACCCATCCAGAAGTGGCCACAAGGGGTTTAGTATCATGTCCACTCACTAAGGTCCTTCATTATTTTTATGAAAATGGAGGTAAATATAGTGCAACCTCCCACTTTAAAAAAAGTTTGATTTTGATTTATCCTATCAAATTCTTGGAAAACTAATAAATCGTTTTTGGCTAATAAAGGGGTTTGTCATTCTGATAGTTATGTCTCCTGTCAGATCTCGGCTGGCTGATTTCCAAGAAAAATGCAAATCGTTACAGACATTCACAGATGGCTGCTCTCCACTGAATTATGCAGCATGCCTGCAGGCTTACATGAAGATGATTGGTACGTATTGGATCTGGTGGAGTTTATTGGGAAGTTTAATAGAAAATCTTTTTCTGACTTTGAGCAGTGCTGTTCAAATGGGCCTCCATACTCCCATCATAGACGCTTCTATTTCTATAATCCTTTGCCTGGTTAGCTCTAGCCACAGGTGCTGAAATCAATACGTCTTTGATTTACTTTAGTAAGACTTATGCTTTAATCTTTTATAGTAATCCTTAGTGTCTTACTGTAGAATATCCCCAACATAGGTTGTTGGCAGTTAAATGACTTTCAATACACTATATGGATTGAAACCTCTCTGACGAAAAAGTGGGGCAGGAAGTTTATTGAAACCAGTTTATTTCCAGGCCAGAATTATATAGTCTTAGGGTGCTGACTGAAAAGAGTGATTCACCAGCTTTATTGCACATTTAAAGAAAATAGTTGTGTGGTTTTGTATTTAGCCTTTTTGGTTTAGGAATTAAAAGGTAAAATCTCTGTTAAAACTATCTTGATTCCTTAAAACTATGTTTTAAACCTATCTTGATTAAAATTATCTTGTAATTTCATGAACACATCTATGTCATTTTCTTGGCAACAACATGCACCTCACCTACTTCCTTCGGGTTGTCTGATTTTATTTTATTGCTTTATTTGAAACAGGTACATCTTTGACCCCCAATTATGCGAGCAACTCCAGTACTGAGATCACACTTTGGTGTTCCTGTTCAAACAGTGGCAATCATAAAGAGGAGTGTGATCGAATCCTTAACTTATTTTCCAGCAACAAGTGTCTCAGTAAGTCAATACAGAATATCAATATCGGGGCAGATCTTAATTTTTCTAACCCCAAAGGTTTCCCAATAAATTGGCAGAGGATTCCATGGGGAAATGAAAGTAGATTTCTATGCAGGGTAAAATTAAATTTGAAAGTTATTGTTAGAAGATTTTAATAAATACTCCATGTATATGCCACCAGTCTTTCAATGGTGGTCAGGTCCATTACAGATTTTCATTAAGATTAGAGAAATGGAGGACAGATTTGCCAGGATACTGAAATAGGATTCCACATTCAGAGACTGCAGATGAGATTTATTCATTTTTTACATTTATACTCTGCTGCAATCTCAAAGGATATTGAAGATATAAAAAATATGCTGCTCTTGCCTTCATTCCCTAGTTTCAACTTATCCAATTTCTTTCATATTTTGCAAAGAAAATTTGAAACTAGACTTTTATTCCGATGCGATATATTGAAATATATAATACACTATGTTACATATTGTATCTTTATCTGATTAATTATAATTAATATTTGTTACCTTATTAATATCTTACTTCATTAATTACATCTGCATTCAGCAATAGAAGTTGATGTTTCAGTAAGCATCAACTTTTTTCTGCTGATACTGGAAAGATGACAGTCACCTAAGCACTAAAAGTATACTTGTTTTCTATTCCCATCATTGCCTATAGAGTTTAGAAAGTTAAGCCTTGTAATATAAAATATTTTTCACTATTGTAAAAGTGAGGTTAAACATTGGTTTCAATTCTTAGTGGTTCATCTTTTTAAATTGGAAAAAAATGCTTATGAAAAAAGTTATTTATGTTTCTTGATTAATTTTTAATTATGATTCATTATCTGATTCTCTTATCCTGTTTGGAAGGGAAGAAAATCATATGCCTGAACTTGATTGATAAATTCCAATCCCTGCCAAGTCTGGTGATATATTACACTGGAATAGTTTTCTTGATCAAGAGCAATTTATAGTGAGTTAATTGCCAAAATGTTCTTACATTAAAGCCAAAAATTGATGAATAAAGAAACTGCAGGTTTCTGTGTAGCCAAAGAAGAATGGAAAATGCCTGCTAATTTTTGATAGAGACTTGTGAAAAATATAAATATAATAATTTACCAGCATATTTACTCTGCTAAAACTAGAGGTTTCAACCAATGGCTCAGAATTTGAGATCCTCAACACTCCTCCATATTCTCTGTCTCACAGATAATGCAATCCAAACTGAGATGAATCTTGGCCAAAAGAATAAGGAGGTGCAGGACCAGCCGCCGCAATTCACTCCTTCTGTAGACATTCAAGGAGATGGCACTAGCACAATGTTCACTGAAAAACTGTACCAGGTAAGTTAAATATGTTAATTAAACAATATTATAAATGAAATCAGAGATATTATATGACTATAAAATTACCAGCTTTCAATTAAATATATTCTGAGAGATTTTTACCTTTGACCCAAAGAGGCCTCCTGAACATCCAACAGAAAATAAAGGGGGAGGAAAAGAGAATTTAAATGAGATATATCCAATCAGAACTTAATGTTTTCCCTCTTTCTCTGTCTCCCTTTTTTTATAGGAACCTGAGGTGAAGGAGGAGAAGAAAGATTCAGAAATTCTTACCCTCAACCAAAAATCAGCCCCAAATTCTGAATATCCCAGAGCTCAGTTTTCCTCACTCATCTTGATCTTAACCTTAGTCTTCTTATTTCTTGGCCCACCTTAACCTAATATGAATTTTATTGCTACTATTGTATATTTCCTTGAGAAGGGGAAACTGACTTGTTTCATGCAGAGAGGAAGCATTGGTCCCTGCATATTTGTTTAACCTTCTATCAGCACAGTGGCCCTTTGACTCATTTTTGTATACAGCTGCAGTAGAAGTCAGTGGGAGATGACGTGGAATTCAGATTACCTCCCTGCCCTGAGAAAAAAGCAAGCAGGTAGGAGATTCTAGGGAACTACTTTTTAAAATCTAAATCAGGGTAAAAATTTCATATTCTAAAATATCCTCTTTAAGAAGACAAAGAAAAACTGGTTCATCCTGGTCTGTTAAATGATGTACAATTTCTGCCAAAGGAAAACCCCCAACATCTGGATTATTATCAGGACTGTTGTAGAATAGTCTTTTTTAATCAGCCAAGGCAAAAATGTTGTGTTAAGGGCATGATACTGAACGGTAGCCTCTGTACATGGTTTCTTGTTTGCCCAACTAATCTTAATGTGTTAATTATACAAGGGAAATTTAAATCACCTGAGCCAAGATGAATTTATGTATTTTTTTCAATAAAAAGCATCTTCTTTAGCAATAGCTACAAAGTCCAGCTTTTCACAAGACTCCGCATGCAAGCTAAGATTTTATGCACAACAGATTCCTAGATGCATCAAATGTTGTTTGCCATACGTTAGCATCCCCTTACATACCTTTCTGTACATTGTGTAGAATTAAAAGTTATCCATGACCTGACAATTGTGGGTGTAGAAACTGTGATATTATATGTTGTTCTTTTAAACTGCAATGGTATGTTGTTAATGCTGTTTATACATTACTTATTTACATTTCTTATATGGACACTGCCATGAGAAACCTTCAAGTTTTGAAAGAACTATCAAGTACGGTAAATCCAGTAGTTCTTCGCTGCATCTCTTTCCTTCTTATTCTAAAGAACTGGAATAATGTGGCTGTGAAGTTGCCTGTCATATGTGCAAGGATTAAGACTGTGCTGCATTCCATAATGGTGGTTATTCTAAAACAAAGTTGTAATGCAACATATAATTGTAATAATTTTCTACATCTTAGCATGTTGTGCACTTTTTTATTGTGGCATAGGTTTTGTCTTCTGAACTGTGAAGGATGTGGAGCTTCATCTTTATTTACTGTATGCTTAGTAACAAAAAAGGAAGCCTTATTTGCATGGGTTCCTACACCATTCTGCAGTAACTATGGCACCTATTATGGAAATTATAAAAGGATTTGTCCCCACTTTTTAAATTTGCAATTATATTTGTAAAAAAATTGGAAGTATGGCTTATTTTTTAAAAAAGGCAAGAAATGATGTGTTATCAGAAGGAATATAACAATATAAAATCTTAACAATTTTTTAAAACAATTCTGACTGTAAAATAAAATATTAGAACATATTATAGACTGGGATTAAGCATTTGGACTTTTATACAAATTCTGAAGATGGGGAGTTACAGAAGTCATTTAGATAAAGTTAATAATTTTGCAACACTAGGAATAGTCTACAGTTTCCATTAAGAAAATATGACAACAATGCAAAGTATTGGAAAACCCTAAAATTAAACTTCGTAATAAGTAAAAAGGTAAAGATGATTTTTTAAAAATCATAGTATTGTTTTCCATGATTGACTTTCTGCAGTTATTACATTCATAATAGATTTACAAGAGCTAGAGGTACAACAGCACAATTACAAAACTGAACATACTATCATGAATTAAGAAGTAAACTATAGGTTTTCCAGGGTGTGGTCCTGGTATAGCACCCATAAACATCAACAAAACTTTGATGAACTTTCTTTTGTTCACTTGGGTTGCACTTCTGTTTCCTGAGGTCCATGCACACCTAGGGAAATAAGAAGGCTCATTTAGGCTTCTCTCTCCTTCCCCTAGATAAGAGGAGAATGTCCCAATCATTCCACAGGCCTCATATACTTCCTATGTATATGGTAAGTGGGAGAACAAGATGTTGAAAGGTGTGATATTACAACGACCAAGGTCAATGTGGCAGCCTTTTAGGTTACATGGATTTCAACTTCCAGAAATTCTAGTGACTGGAGAATTCTGGGAATTGAAGTCCATAGATCTTAAAGTTGCCATGGTTCAGGAACATTGGCCTGGCTGGGACATACCAGTGAGCATTTTCATCTAAAGTATTGTTCCTCCTCTATTTACTTGCATTGTTCTAATACTTATTTCATACTTCTTATATGGTTATATTGATTTTATTTCATATAATATTGAATATATCTACAACTCCCATGCCTCTCCTGAAAGGAGAAATTGCAGAACACTAGACATTCCTAAAATGTTATCAAATATCTATAGTACATTGTCTAGGTCTCTTGGCAAACATAAAAGAAGTGAGAGTATTCTGAATTACTGTAATAAAAATTCCAATATCTTGTACATGTGATTCAGCTTATAATGTCAAAAATAAAGTTTACTTTACAACTCTGGGCGTCTTCTTTTCCCCCTTTGAATTCAGCAAGAGATGTATTGAATGTCAGTACCTCTGTGATGATTCTACAATACAGACGGTTCTTAATCTCAGTTATGAAAATGGAAGTAAGCCTTTCTATAGTCTCATCGCTGTTTGCACTATTCATTTGTGTGCATATATACAGTAACTAGACCCAGAGAACATTATTCCTCAGCTATTTTGAAAGTAGGTTGTTGCTTCATGAGAGAGGTATTTCCCCAAAGACATGAAGTAAAAAGATACATTAAATTTCCTTTAGAGATTTCCCATATTTTAGAGCTAATTAAGATATAGAAAATGCTAAGAGCAAATTGTTCATATGACTACAGAGTTGGAAAAACATCTGATTTAACAATTTCTTGAATCCTTGGAGGAGCTTCCAGTTGGATACAGTATATTCTATTGTTGGTAGAAAATGTGGATCCTAGGTGCTTTTGCTTATTTGAGCTTCATAAAACTAGGAAAGTTTGAGTAATAAAAATATGAGATAATTTGAAATGCAGAATGTAAATGGAGAAAGACATACAAATTAATAAAGCCTAGATCTCATTTTAGATCCTATGCTGAGTGACAATGGAGAAATAAATGTACATTTCACAATGAGCACCCTAGTGCAATCTAAACAAATTGGATTGGGTCTTATAAGTGATTTTAGCTAGTTGCAAATATCAGAGCATGTAACTTTGCAATATCAAACATTTTGAATTTTTTTTAAAAAATCTTCAGTTACAATTTCGGTATAAATTACATAAAATGTCAAATGTAACATTGCATCTAGCTTGTTGTTTTTAGAAATGAAAATTGAATTAGCATGGAAGCCAATAAGTAATGAGATCAGAATTGGTACACGGGAATAAATTCTTTTCTTAGATCTGAGTGCAATGCCTCTTCCAAAGCAAGACCTCTTGTTGGGAGATGGGAATTTTTCATAGTTACCAATATTACCAATTCTGGTAGCTCCCATGTGACTTTTGCTTGAAATTGGACTTAGGAAAATACTCTGAAGTATCATTGTTTATTCTTCTCCCTTCTAATAAGTCACACAAATAGTTCTTGCTTAAAAAAGGTAAGTGGGACTAAACTTTGCATCAATAAGCAATGCAGTTGTTAAACATGTCATGTGACTGCATTACTTAGCAACAGCAGTTCTGCCACTAATGCAGTTGCTGCTGTTAAATGAATCCCACAATACTGTTTAAGTGCAAGGTCACACGGTTGCCATTTGCAATCTCTTGCCAGCTTCCCCATTGACTTTGCGAAAAGCTAGCAGAGAAGATTGCAATGCAAATGGTGATCAGATGAATATGGGAGTATATCTTAATTGTGAGTTGGTTGCCAAGCTGGTCTAAATCATGATCACATAACCGTGTGAATGCTGCAATGATGGCTTGAGCTTTGAGGATCAGTTATAACTTCCACTTGTTCAATGCCATTGTACATTTTGTCAGTGAACAAGTGTTCATTAAACAAGTATTTAAATAAATGGCATTACATCACCCGATATTTCCAAATTGAAGCAGGAAAAAAGATGGGCTATATGCCTGGTCTTACATTGGACAACTACGTTGACATTTGATGCCATCAGCTCTGATATTCTCTCTGAACACTTGAATTGAGGTAGGAGACAATTATATTGATCTGCTTATATTTAGCAAATAGACCTGCCATGTTGTGGTTTTATCCTTTGAAACATCAAGCTCTATTTTCTGTTCCATGCTGTTCCACATTTACATTACACTAAAGCTGTCTGGAAAACAAAGTTATATCCTTACTTTTGATAGCTGGCAATATTTTTCATCTAACCTAGATTGATCCCAGACTAGGTGAGAGGATGGAAATATTACTCATGAACAGCAACTAACCAGAGAGGAAAAAGCAGTGATTGACTTTCTGCATCAGTTGCAGTATCCCTTAATTTTTTTTAATTTAGTTTGTCAAACATGTACAAGATAACATACTGTATATAAGTATAAACATGGACATGAACAAGGGAAATGAGTACAAATAAATGGGGACAGTAAGACAGGGACGGAAGGCACGCTGGTGCACTTATGCACGCCCCCTTTACAGACCTCTTAGGAATGGGATGAGGTCCATGGTAGACAGTTTAAGGTTGAAGCTGTGGGGGTTTGAGGGTGTAACAATGGAGTCAGGTAGAGCATTCCAGGCATTGACCACTCTGTTGCTGAAGTTGTATTTGCTGCAATCGAGTTTGGAACGGTTTACCTTGCGTTTCTATCGATTGTTTGCCCGTGTATTATTGAGGTTGAGGTTGAAGCTGAAGAAGTCATTGATAGGTAGGACATTGTAGCAGACACTATATACTATACCTAGGTCAAACTGTAGGTGGCATACTTCCAGGTTGTCCAAACCCAAAATTTCGAGCCTTGGTGGCATAAGGGATTCTATTGGGAGCACTGCAGTAATGGTACCAGTTCGGTAGCAGAAGCGCACACACATGTCTGGGCATACACATCCATGATGATGGATGGGTGGAGCCTTGCACCACTGCCAAATTTGGTTCACCCAAACTGGTGTGAACCAGCAGAATACCACCTCTGGAACAGAGGAGCACTCTTCTTGTGAAATGCTTCTGGACCCGCTCAATTGTATTAATGTTCCCTTATGTTCTATTTTATTCAATTTTCACATTCCATTTGCAATCATTTATATACAGGGTATTTACTATAAGAAAAGAAAAAAAAAAAAAGAAAAAAAAAAAAAGAAAAAGGGAATAACACGAACAAGTAAAAAGGAAACACAACTTCAGCAACAGAGTGGTCAATGCCTGGAATGCTCTA